AACCGTATCGACAATTGACCGTGGCGCGCCGAATCCATGAGAAGTTAGCCGCTCGTTATTTTGGGCCTTTCAAGATCGTAAATCGAATTGGTCCGGTAGTATATAAACTAGAGTTGCCTGCGTCTTCTAGAGTACATCCGGTCTCACGTTTCGTTACTCAAAAAGGCAGTGATGTCGGATTCAGTGGAGCAAAACCTTCCACCCGAATTGGAAACTAATTCTTCTGATATACTAGTTCCAGACTCGATTCAAGCAGTTCGTACAGTTAATGTTCATAACGAATCAAGTGTACAATGGTTGATTAAATGGAAGGATCGCCCTTTGGAAGAAGCAACATGGGAGGACGCAATGACTATTAAGAGTCAATTTCCAAAAGCAAGTCTTGAGAACAAGACTTCACTGGAAGGGCAGGGTAATGTTACGGATTTGGTTGGGCTGGACCATAATAAGAATAAACCAAGTATTCTTAAGGTATATTAGAGAAGGCCCAAAAAAGGCAGAAAAGGAAAGTGGCTAATAGTTAGTTAGGGGAGAGAGTGTCTGCCTCTATTTAAGGGAGGAGGTCAAGCGTATTGGGGTAGATAATGTTTTCCTAGTTTTTGTATTGGCTCTTGCTTTAGTGCACAGAGAGAGGGAGGATTCCCTGGTTCATTTCCATTATTGTATTTCTTTCCAATTTCCATTTCAATCATAGATATCCACTTTCCTCCATTATCCTTCTTAATTTGATAATCAATTTGTGTTTTCCATCAGATGTCCATATAGACTTCCTCGATCAGATGTCCATATAGACTTCCTCGATCAGATCTCCGTTCGAGAAGGCATTCTTGACATCAAGCTGGAATAACAGCCAATCCTAATTAACTGCAATGGAAAATAGAACACAAATTGTGTTAGGCTCGGCTACAGGAGCAAAGGTTTCCTGATAACCAATTCCATATGACTGAGTAAACCCCTTAGCCACTAGATGGGCTTTGTATTTATCTATACTCCCATTTGCTTTTGTTTAACTGAAAAAATCCATTTGCAACCCACTGTATTCTTCCCAGGTGGTAGATTAGTTACTACCCCGGTGCCATTCCTTTGAAGAGTATTATGCTCTTCTATGGTTGCTTCACGCCATTTCTGAATCCTTAGAGCCTCATAAACCGAGTTGGGTACCGTGACCTTGTCTAAGGATGTCATATATGCCCAGAAGTTTGGAGACAAATTTTTGTAAGAGATGTAGTTGGGAAAGGGATGTTGGGTGCATGATCTTACTCCTTTTCTTTGAGCAATGGGAAGATCCAATGTAGGATCACAAGTAGAATTTGCTTGTGAAACAGAATTTTCTTCATCTTGTATATTTTCTTGTCCAGGTTGGCCCTCGGAAGTTTCTTGACTTTGCTGATTTGTTACAGGCATGTCTGGATTTTTCCTTCTTTCATAAACTTTGACAGCATCATTAGGAAGGTGTTTAGGATAGCCATTGGGTGATCATCATCGGGTATAGACTTTTATTGAGAACCAGGGGGATTGAGACACAGGGTGAGTCAAGTCTGGATCCGGACAGGTTGGAGTACCAGAGTTATTTGATGGAGGAGATAAGGTGGAGTAAACTTGAGTATTTGATGGAGGAGATAAGATAGAGTGAACTTGAGTTAGTGAATCTGAGTCCATGAGGTATGTCCGGTCCCAATTCTGAAATTCATGTAAGTTATTCTCCTTCTGAATTACAGAATTGGGGTAGAACGGAATATTTTCAAAAAAGGTAACATCCATGGTATTATATAATTTACGGGTGGTAGAGGAGAAACACTCGTAGCCCTTTTGATTAGCTGAATATCCAAGGATACATTTAAGTGCACGAGCATCAAGTTTACCACGATATTGAGGATAGATATGCACAAATGCAGTGCAACCAAACGACTTGAAAGGAACTTGTGACACAAGATGAGAGGTAGGAAATAGACCTTGGAATTTTTGCAATGTTGAGCTGAAGTTAAGGACTAGAGAGGGCATGCGATTGACTAGGTATGTTGCGATGAGAATGGCTTCACCCCAGAATCTCGTAGGAACATTTCCTTGGAAAAGTAAAGATCAGGCAACCTGAAGGATGTGACGGTTTTTACAATCTGCCACACCATTTTGTTGTGGGTGTGGGCACACGAACTTTGCGGACAACACCATGAGAGTGGAGATAGAAACCAAGACTGGAATTGAAGAAGTCTTTGGCTTTATCAGTTTTTTGGATTCGAATTTGAGAATTGAATTGATTTTGAGCCATGACATGGAAGTGCTGAAATATGTGTTTGGTTTCAGATTTGTCTTTCATAAGAAATGTCCAACACAATCTAGTATGGTCATCAACTAATAATAAAAAACATCTAGCACCGGTTATGCTTGGAATACGAACAGGCCCCCAAATGTCACCATGCACAAGGGAGAAAGGGTGACTTGGTTTGTATGATCGTGGTGAGTATGTAATGCGAGTATGCTTGGCCATTTGACAAAGATCTCATTGAAAACTTTAAGACTTTCATTGATGAAGAAAGGCGGGAACAAACGTTTTGAATATGAAAGTTGGGATGACCTAGATGAAAGTGCCACATCATGATTTCACTTTCTTTATTAGATTGACTAGAAGACTTAAAACTATGACTCAATGAATTATGATGACTAACCAAATGAGTTGAAGGAGTGTTGACATCCAGAACATAAAGACCTGCATGCACATCAACATTGTTAATCGTCTTCCCGAGCTCAAGTCCTAATATATACAAGAATTAGGAAGGAGTTTAGTTGAACAGTTTAAGTCACGAGTCAGTTTGCTAACTGATATGAGATTACACTCAATTTCTGGCACAAATAACACTGATTTGAGTGTAAGGGTGGCTGAAAGTTTAACGATTCCTGTTCCAACCACTTTGGTGCATGTACCATTGGCAATACATATGATTTGAAGGATGGTACAAGGAGAATAAGTTGAGAAAAGTGATCGGTCACTTGTCATGCGGTCGAATGCAACCGAGTCAACAATCCAAAGTGAGGAGGATAATTTTGTTGTATGAAGTGCAGTGCGAAGCTTTGAACAAGGTTGTTTTTCAGTTAAGCCAAGATGAGATGTTGAAGGAGTCATGAGATTAGAAGTGGATGAATCCTTGGATAAGATCTGATTCCCTCGTGAAGAGAGGTTTTGAGAGATAGCGATGAGCAGATTAAAGAAGATGATGGCTCGAGAGAAAGTAGGATCTCTAACCTATAGCTCTGATACCATGAAGCTGGTTGAGATGTGTGAGAAAAGTTTCTATTCCAACTTGAATACAATGTACATATTTATATACAAGAAAATCTGTAACAGCTCCTATAATTCAGCTTCTAAAAAGAAATATAAATTCTATCTAATAAAGAGAGAATCAATAATTATGTAACTAATCCACTATGATCAACTTATAGATTATCTGATATCCTAGCTTGATTTTCTACACAGACAATAGACCAGAATCGCGCCGCAATGAGTGGTACGCTATATGCTAACATGATATGGAATATTCTAGCGGTCGAGGACCACTAGCTGAATTCGTGTAGCGATTGACTACCTGAACATAACGTAGGTATTCACATTTAAGGTACCTTGAAAATGAAAGTGCCTACTCATTATAGATCAAGGGCACAAGTGAGCAGTTAGGCATTCAAATGTCGATCACATTTGATGCCCATATAGGATATCTATTATAGAAATATTGCATACTCGTTAGTAAGAATCTAATCTCTTCTAAAAGCAAGAAGCAAGAGGTAGATTCAAGGCCTAAACACAAAATTACAAATAAAAAAGAGTGAATAGAAATTCATTCTTAGGCATGGAGTCTCTTAAGTACTGAATGATTGCATAGCTCTCATACATTTAAACATTAGATTTTCCCATGAACATACCAAGGAATTTACCAAGCATATTGAGGTTCATTGTCACTTGTTACACTACTTTTGAACTTCTAGCCGTAAACTAGTTTTCATTTGTTCTTGCCAACGTCTAAACAGAACCACACCATGGTTCACAATTTAGTCTTGCATGTCATAAGTAAGGAATGAGAAAATACCTTCCAACTTCAGGAGAGAGAAATATTTATGTAATCATCTATCCATCTTGATCATTCAGGTTTATCTACTACTATTATAATGTAGCGGCCCATGGCTGAACGAGCCTTGTCTACGAAGCAGAGCGACCTCGTCTTGCTTGTAAAACCCGGTCTCTCAGAGCATAAAGAAGGCCTTCTCAGGTTCACCTCTTTTCTTAGGATTGGCTGCTCTGAGGTTCTGGAAGGTTGGTTCTACCGTGCAGGAATAGGTTCCTAACTGCATCCGTTAACAACCATTTGTTCCAAAGATTTTGATAAAGAGATCTCTAGCCGGTCAGAATATATTTATATGTCATCATTCAATTGAATAAAATGACACTTTTCAAGTAGCAGTATTATTTTCCGAACCAAAACATAATTATGTTGTTTTATAGTAGAACCCTACATGCTTTTATACTTGAATGAACTCCCATGAAACTTTTCTCTAAAGCATGGGATGGTCAATAAATCTTATTGTAGCATTCTCCTCTACTTTTTAAGAGGATTTTTGCTAAATTACAAGCACTTCTTTAGTCTCAATTCCAAGCAAACATAATTCATATCTTACTCAAGAGGGCATAAACTTATGTGAAACAAGCTTTGTTTGGCAATGGTCTTTTCGGTAATCACACTTTAAAAACTTCATGGCCTTGTTGCTTTGGGATTTATCTACTACATGTGTCATATTTCTTTAGAAGTTTCCAATAATGAAGGTAAAGTTTGTGTCGTTTGCTTTTCTAAAGTTTTTATGCTAATTAGTTGTAAAAATAAGAAGAAAAAATATGTAGAGATAAAGAATAAACTTCATGCTCTTATAGAATGTAATATCTCAAATTTGAAATTTGATAAAAATGTAAAAGACCATATACATACACAGCTCAATTTACATGATATAATGAAGCTGACCTTTATTTGGTCAAACGGGCTCATCATCATCTGTAACAATGAGAATCCAGTTATTTAGAGGAGGAAGTTGTACATATAGGCGAATTTTTTTGTTGCGAAGAACCTGGCTTCTGAAAGCACATGCAAGGTATTAACAATCATCTAATGAAGCTTACCTTCATGTGGTCAAAGTGATTGATTCCCACCTGTGAGAATGAGAATTGGTGATTGATCAGGGGGCAAGTTGCACATAAAGATATATATATTTCTATGGTGAAGAAACTAGTTTCTAAAGCACAAGCATATAAGAAGCGGGCGCTACCTTTGATTCTCCATCAGTCCCGTTTGCAAGGGCTTCAAGGACTCTAATCCTTGACTGGTATTTCTCCTCACGAGTTTTAAAAAGATTGTTTTGCTGTAAGTGGAAGGAAAATAAAGTTGTGAAAAGGAAACAGCCCACAGAAAAACAAATAAGCTAGCCATCTTTATAGGTGGCCTCATCTCTTTAATAATAAGTCAAGAGTTCCTTCTCTAGGGTAGACACATACTACAATTATTTGATCATTATACTTCTTCTTTATACTACAGGTACGTTATTAGAGATGGTAGAGGGTGATGAACGTGCCACAAACATTGACAAATCTTCCTAGAAAAGTAATATGCTAATGCTTTATGTTTGTAGCATACAAGGTAAAATCAGAATTTTAGTTTACTTGTGAATCTATTGAACGGTGAATTCCTTCTCTTGATAAGCATGCCAAATCAAATGAGCGTACTTATTCTGATATGGAGGGACTATAATTTATGACTCTTACAGTTCGTAGATGTTCAGCTTGAGTAGAAATACGCCGTTCAATCTCCTGTACGACTTTCCTCATGAGGCAAGCAACCCGCTGGGAGTAAAACATAATATTTTAGAATCATGTACTGTGGATGGTTTTTAACACTGAGAAACGTTTCCGTAATATCATACATGAGGTATTTCACCATTCTTCCTACTGATGCTTTCGTCTAGAATCCCATTTACCATGCTTAGAAGCGACTGTGTCGGGGCAATCTGGAAAAAGGAAAATCTGGAATTACGGAAGCACGGATGTCAAAACGTACAACATATATTAGGTATCTAAAAGGACATTTCAGGTGAATTCACAAAAGCGCAAAGGAAATCACATCCAAACTGTTTGATTTCATCAATTCTGAGATTTTTGATGCAGGAAGATCTGAATAGCCTCCATGTTTCATCTGAAACACTTCATGAAATTTATGTCCAGCATGATGCATCAACGCATTCGTAGGCTCTACAGGAAAGAAAAATGTTAGAACTCTATGATATGACTCCAAAAGTTTTTGGGACACATATCTATGTATTGGCATAAGTAAATAAGGTATTAGTATTCACTGTAAAATGGGAAGAGAGGGAGAGTGAGAGGGTGAGGAAGAGAGTACCAGACATCATAGGGCTGCGTAGAGTGCGCTGAAATTTTCGAGGAGACATTTCTTCTTGGGAACCATCACTAGTTCCACATTGTTCGTCTAACTGCCTCCATCTCACGGCGTCACTTCCCCAATTGTTTGGTGAAGAAGAAGTAGGACTACCTAACCCAATCTTTGGCATGAAATGTGCTTTAAGTGTTAAAAGGCATTCCGATACTATTTTCATGGATCCCTGGACAAAGTAAAATAAGTGATGAGAGACAAAGAGAGGGGAAAAGTGAGAGAGAGATCGAAGGTGCAAATGAGAACGGAATTTCACACTAAATATAAAAAAAGGAAAAAAGAACAAAAGAATCACATTTCGCATCTGAAGTTTATAAGATGAGATGGGCTGAAGTTCATGGTAGCTCAAAGAATTCAGTGATAGTAATTTAACATTTGCCTAGCTTAGAGGTGAAACATGTTCCCTCCATAAAGTTATACAGGTGCATCCCTACATCATGCAATTTATTGTTACCTTCTCTAGCTCTGATATATTAAAATGGGGTAGTCTCATGTCATCCATAGCTGCAAGGAACTTCTTAACATTTTCTGACTTTGCCTCTGAAGAGTGATGAGGATTACCGTACTAAATTAATGATACAAAGAAGAAAATATGATCAACAACTTTGATGAACAATCTCAAATGTACAGTATAATAACTTCGTTTATTTCGAAGCAGCAGATTATACCTCAATAGCAGATCCTGGTCTAAGTTTGTTCACAAGTCGACACAAGATAGTACCATCAGCTAAAAAATTTCTCAACTCCTCGTCCGAAGCATTGACAGGAAGATTCAGATTGGGAAGCGTGCTATTCAACCATTCTATCACAGCTGTTCGCAGCTTAGCTAAGCACAAAAAACAAGTGATAAATCACTAAAAACCAAATCAATAACTAAGGAACATCCGCCACAAACAACAAAGAATGACCTATCAGTTTCATCAGCACGAACAATGGATGATATAGAAAACTCGACACCATCTGCCTTACCATCATTTACTGATGTAGGTTCAAAAACATCACTGCTGGCAGATGAATTTGAAATGTTGTATCTGCCATATTCCTTTGTCTCATGATCCATCATACAAGTTGCTATATAGCACTTCGTTTCGACCTCTGGCAAGAAAAAAAGCCGGTGTGATAGAAATAGAACTCATGATCCTTCAAAGTTAAATAAAAATTAATCGAGATACAAAAGGAAAGTTTCACATGCTAACAGCTATATTATCTGGGTTTGTTTTGCAGAGGCAAACCCAGGTTTTTAACCAAGGTATGCACTACCATTACAAAAAATAATTCCAGGTATGTGCTATACATTTTTTAACTTCTTATATTTATACTACAAATCTTTTTAGTGTGCACATCCTCCCTGTGGCTGTAAGGGCCACTGCTGTTTTGAGTAAGCTTACAAATATGAGAAGTGCTTGTCCTTAGCTGCAACTGCTTCTACTAAATTCTTGCTAATGAGTTGAATACTAATTGATTGTGATTTCAGATAAAACTCTGATCTCCAAAATAACATATTCAATCTAGATGTACATTTCTACTCCATATGTAGTGTATCATGACTTTTCAACAGTCCTCTGCAACTCTCAAGTCCCAATTTTTTCTAGGAAGTAGGAATTTGTGTTGTATAACCTAGTGCATTTAGTCAAGTTTTTAAAGTTTATGAAGCAATACTATTTTCATGCATTCATGAACTTATGCAGTGCCTACTCTTTTATCATATGGCTACTCATGATGTGATACGAAGGAATGAATTTAAGGAACCTTTTTCTCTGCTGCACCATCTCCTTGTCTTTGTTTTAAGCTTCTTCATATCATTTTAGTTCACTTCGATTTACCATAGCAAAAATAGAGTTCCTTTTCGTTTTAAATTGCAAGTCACCACTTGATGGAATCATATTTTGTACCTCTAGACACAAGACTTATACAGATGCAACAAGATTCCTTTGTTTATCACGCTTATAAATGCTTTCATCTCCACGGTAACCTATATTTTTGTCCAATTGGAGTTGGAAGTTGCCATCACCTATAACTATTGGAGTCTATTCAACATGTTACTCTTCTCAAGCTTGAATGGTTATGGAAGTCTCCACATAATGGCGGATTTATTTCTTTTCTGGGCGTGGGGGAATACCATGTTCATAAAATTAAAATTGGAGAACCACCTGCCGTACAGAAAGTTTTGAGAAAGAAAGAATGTAAATGTTTGACACCAAGCAACAGGAGAACATCCTGCCATACACAAACAAATTTCAACAACACAATGTTTCAATCACTTGCACCATAGAAGAACATGCAAATCATTAATATGCAAATACCACTTTTGGCAACAAACGGTTGGTGGGCATCATATGTTTATATCATAGGAAGAACGAAATACAAGAATGATTCAAAACAAATCCCACATTTTGATTAACAGCCACGATATTATAACACGAAGTATGTTAAACATCTGAAGATGGAAAGCGACAGTGAACATACGTGAGGGAATGAGGAGAAAGAGAGAGACCTGGGGGTAACGAGCATGAAGCAAAAACCCAATGACGTTTTCTCTTTCTTGTTTTGGTTGGTCTTCGATGTACCGTTACGATAATGAAGATGGTTGAAATTATAAGCGTCCACCGTGAATACAGGAGCATGCGTCGGAGATTCATGTCTTTATTGTCAGGTGATTTGCCATACATTGAAGCTGATCGGTCCTTGTGGTTTCCATAATAGTACCCCATGTAATCTTATGCTTTTATTTCGACTTTCTATGCTAGGCCTTGTATATTTCACCCTGAATGTGAAGATCGTCCGAGAAGAGAGAAGTAATAGTCACGAGAATAAAACGAAATCTAAAGCGTTTGATCACTTTTAATGTTATGTCCCAATCATTAATTGTATCCTAGAAGAAAATGGGGATCCTATACATATGGTACATGTCATTAGTATTAATATTTAATTACGATTGATTCAAGATGAAGATTTCTTCTCAAGTTTTTCATTATAACTTTTTTTTTTTCATCAGAACTTTACCTAAGTAACAAAATGTTAAATTTACAAAAAAGTTGCTAGACTATTCAATAACTTTTAATTTTGGTTTAACAGGTTAATTTTTTTACGGTTTAAATCTAGAGGTCAATAATTTGTAAAATCACCCCCTCTCCTAGAGATCTCCAATACATTGATTAATAACAACCTCTTTTACATCATTTTTAGCTTAACAAACTAAGAATTACCATAAATTTTTCCAATAATAGTTCAATCACTTGCAAAAACCTTCTTTTTGTCGATACCATGTAAAAGAACCCATGATCGGGCTTTGTGTTTTCTTTTTACAATTTCAGTTTGTACCTCAATAGCTTGTAGAAAAGTTCCCCCTTCTCTTGTTAGCTACTCAATAGTGAACTCTATACAATAGATGCACAAGGCCTGAATCTTCTAAACCCGTTTTAGTAAGCAAAAGGAAATTGATTGGAGCAAGCAAATCGAGTCTTGAAAAATATATTTGGTATGCATGATGGGGGCCTTTTTATTAGCCTAGGCTTAATTAGACTTACTAGCACCAGGCTTTTCTAAGACGAGTCTTTTTTGTGCATCACTAACGGGTGTATGGTCTTCCTTTACACACACCATTTATAGTTGAAACAAAGGGATGTCAAAAGATGACCTACAAAAAAGTAGATTAATAACTACCACCTTGTAAAAGAATCCTTGAACTACTAATTTATATATTTGATTGTAATTGAATCAATGAACAAATTTTGTCATAAATATGAACGACACAAGACCATTTAATAGGGCAAAACTGTATCGTTACATCCTCTCATTGTTATCAATATAGTGTTTGCTTCAAAATGGGGTTGAACTGAATGAAATATCGTGTGACGTGTAGGCAATAGGGACTTGATCTCTTTCATTTTTAGGTCATGGAAACCTAGAGACTCATCCAATAAGGAGTACTAGTTTTTCTTTGGTTTGATTTTTAAATAGGAGAAGATACACACTTACTTTATTACTAATCACTAGTAGAAAACTGGGTATTTTGGAAATCCCGGTCCTTATCTAGCCAACATAGGAACACCCAACATGAGGGTTATATATATAGAGTTTAGTTCAAATGTTAACCAAGATTATTGTGTTAACTTTGTTAACCAAGCCCAACCAATGAAAATTCATCTTTTATCTAGGTTCATATCCAGCTCATAATTTAATGACAAGGGTAAATATATAATTTTAGTTTGTATGTAACTCCCATATCATTAATTGGGAGTTACAAAATCAAAAAATCCCATAATTGTTGTTGATTTACTATTGATCTTGTTTTTCTATAATATTGATTTATCTATCTATAATGTTCTTGAAATTTGTGATTGTTAAAGGAGACCAGTTAGTAAAGTTTTATATATCGTTCAAGCTAATATGGATAAACCCATTGGAAAACAACTCGACAACAATGGGAAGGTTAAAATGGTTTACGATGACAATCGGTCTTTAAGTTCCGGAAGTGAAGACAATAATCAAAGCATTTGTATTGGTAATGGATTAATATGTTAATGTATTCGTTTTAATCGAAATTATGTTGATTATGATGTTTTTGTATTTTTTATAGTTCATATTGTGTTGGTAGCTTTTTCTTTAATTATTACTACAAGCTCAATTCATATGTTCAAATGGAATGAGTTCATCGTCAACTTAATTTGTTATGCGATCCAATTCTGATAACCATTCGACTCCATCAACTGCTTGTGATGTTTGACCTGCCATAAACTGCAACTAGTGTTCATATACATTCAGTTGTGTTCATATATGTTCTAGTAGGGACATGAATCAAGGCATCTAATGAACTGTGTGTGTTCATAAGTGATCATATGAATTTTTAATCGAAACTATGTTGATTATGACGTTTTTGTGTTTCTTATAGTTCATATTGTGTTGATAGTTTTTTCTTTAATTATTACTACAAGCCCAATTCATATGTTCAAATGAAATGAGTTTATCGTCAACTTAATTTGTTATGCAATCCAATTTTGATAACCATTCGGCTCCATCAACTGCTTGTGATGTTTGACTTGCCATAGACTGCAACTAGTGTTCATATACGTTCAGGTGTGTTCATATATCTTCTAGTAGGGACATGAATCAAGACATCTCATATTGAATTTATAATTTTTGTTAATTTATTATTGATCTTGTTTTTTTTATAATATTGATTTTTCTATCTATAATGTTTTTGAATTTGTGATTGGCAGAAGAGACCCGGTAGTAAAGTTTTCGGTATCGTTTAAGCTATTATGGATAAACCCATTCATAATGAAGGAACTATTGTTCACAAGTGTTCATATTATGTTCATATGTACACTAGTTGCATATCTCAATATTGGCTCACTCCTGAATGTGTTCATAATAAAGGAACTATTATTCACAAGCTGTTTATATTGTGTTCATATTTACACTAGCTGCATATCTCAACATTGGCTTGCTTCTGAATGTGTTCATAATGAAATAACTATTGTTCACAAGTGTTCATATGTACACTAGCTGCATATCTCAACATTGGCTCCCTCTTGAATATGTTCATAATGAAGGAACTATTGTTCACAAGCTATTCATATTTTGTTCATACCTGTTTTTTTTATGTATTTCCTTTCGTGTAGCAGTTATTCTCATTATGTTCATAAATGTTATGCAGTCCAAGTTTATATATGTGTCAATTTTTGTTCGTATTTGACACAATGGTTCATATATATATATATATATATATATATATAGAGAGAGAGAGAGAGAGAGATGTGTTCATATGGTTCTTACATTAACAAAAATAAATTAACAAAAATAATGAGATTTTTTGATTATGTAACTCCCAGTTAATGATATGGGAGTTACATAAGAAAAGAAAATTACCTAAATACCTTTTTCCCCTTTGTTCACATATGTTCTTTGAAATTGTAAATTTAAAACATTAATTTTTTTAATCATGATTAATCACAACCATTTATTGTAAGAATCAATGGCCAAGATTGGTTAACAAAGTTAACACAATAATCTTGGTTAACATTTGAACCAACCCCTATATAGATATATAATGTTCTCAACTTTATTGCAATTCTTTATCAACTAACTAACAACCTTATTATCTTTTGTAGGAAAATAGGGAAAACATAAAGTGTATACAGTGGAGTTGTTTAAAGTGACCCACGTCAAAAAAAGGGTGCATCTAGCAGGCCGGAGGAGTTGATCACTCCCAAGGTGATTGAGACGTTGGTAAGTTTCCATATTTAATTGTTAGACAAACGTTATGTCAATCTAACCTATTTTGGTGGCCAATTGTTGGGCAAACTTCTAGAAAAGCTTTAAGACCTAAATAAAGAAAAGCTTATAAGATCCATTATGAAAAAGAAAGGATTAGAAATTAGGGTTTCAACCAAAATCTCCTCTTCCTCTATAAAATTAGCGCCCCTATTTCTCTCCCTCTTCTTGGATCAATTTTTGTTCAAGGAACAAAAGTTAATTACTTTTGATTGAAGAACTGACTAGCATTCGATTGGTGTTGCTCGTGTGGATACCTGTAGAGATATTCTAACTTGAACACTCAGTTCTACATCAAATATTCATTGATTTAAGAGGTAAAAATGAATATTGATATTTTTAGTTTTTCTTTCGGTTGATCTATTTTACTTAATTGGATCATGGCTTTTGGAAATCTTTTACATATATCTTTGTTTTCCACTCGCATTATCTTTTGTTCGTTGTTTAAAATCAGCTTTAAACATACCCGAGCTTTCCGATAGTATATCAGAGTCACTCTTGAGTAAATAGATTACTTGTTGAATTTTTTGTTGATTCTTTTGTTGTTTGATTTCAACAAATTGAAATAATCAAATATTAAATGTTTCATTAAATATTGTTGATATTTATGAAAAAGACTTGATTCTTATTTATAAGTTGTATGTTTTTCTTCATGGCTACGTGAAAGGTATGAATAAAAATTATTTTGTTATTAGTGATAAAGATTATCTTTCCTAGATTATAGGATTCGGTTTCTTTGTTTAGTTTATCGTATTTGTCATATAGATAGGTTTACTTTTCAATAATTGAATTCAAGTATTCAATTGATTCGATTATCATTAATTCATTTAAGCATTGTAAGCAGATTGTTCTGCATTCTTCATATTCAATAACAGATCAAAAACCTTTGACTGCTAATACTCTTTGTTCTTAATATTCTTGATTTATGGGCATTTTTAATTGGTATCAGAGCCTGCGATAGTCGAATTCTATTCCATACTGATTGTTTTCGATCTCACTATCAAGAATGTCTAAAGAGTACATTAGCATCGGTTCATAGACCAAACCTCCAGCACTCTTCGTAGGAGAATATGTTATCAGGTATTCGCCTACCCGAAACCAATTCATGAGCCATTAAGATGTTATCAGTTATTCGCCTCCTCAGAATGAAAGTTGATTGGGATTCATCAATTAAAGAATCCAATTGACATTTCATTCTATTAACAATGATTTTACTAATGCATTTATAAAGAACCGAACAACATGCAATAGGTCTATAGTCAGAAACCTTAGAGGCATTAACAGATTTCGGTACCAGACAAATAAAAGTGTGATTCAATTCTTTAGCAAGGTTACCTCTATAGAAGAAGTTATGAA